GCCAATTTTGCCTCCATGGACTCTAGATCCCTGACAAAGAAAATAAAATTTAGCTTCTGTGTTTTCTACCCTCGTCCCTAGTCAATGTTGTAAACACAATGAAGACAAATTTTTGCACTGAAAACAAGGAAATATATCATCGATTCATTAAATTTATTGGTCCAGCATATTTGAATTTTTACAGTATATGCCCATTCTGAAAACTATAATAAAAAATCTATACATGTAAGCCTTTTTATCAATTTTTTTTTTGGGTACAACTATCATTGTTCATTTTTTTTTTTTTTTGACTTGGAAGTGATGATCTGTTATCATTTTGCACTGCAACAATGACCTGGGAGGAATTGAAAAGAGAAAGCTGGAATTGGTTCGTCAATATCAATTCACAAACATGGGAGCCTTAATTTATATATGGCATTTAAAGTGAGATGCTCTGTTTAAAAAAAAATAAATAAATCTAGCACTATCTCCCCTAGTTTTTGTCACTCCACCATTCCACTATCCTCTGCATTAGAGGTTAGCGAATATACTTTCTCTATGACTTAGTTTTATTTTCTTTTCACTTACTCACACATGAAAAGCTTATGCTATCTCTGAGTTAGTTAAGCTTTTGGACTCGTGATTCATGAGTAGCCGATTTCGGGGTCTCCTCAAATCCCTTTGCAAATGGATGTAACCGAAATGGACTTGTGATTCATTAGCAACCGATCTTAGGCACCTTTTGAGTCTTGGTGAGTCTTCAACCAAGTTTATATATATATATATAAATATATATATATATATATATATTTTACTGAGCGCAGCGTAACTTTGCTCTCTTCTATGTATTGCATTTTGTAGGCCTAAATGAGCAAGCCTCAATGGTGGCATGTGAGAATGTATAGATCCAAAAGCATCTATCCTTCCTTGTCTCAATATGGACATCTTTATCAGCCGATATGCAGCTTCCAATATCAATTGTTTAGTTATGGAAGGACTTTCAAAAGTCATCTTTGGCGAGTGGAAGACGGTGGCCCTATGCCTCATTCCTTCTATTATCTATTCACAGTAACATTCAATTCGCTATGAGTCTAGCTATATTGCACAGAATGATTATGGCCAAAAGATAGGAAAAATATGTTTCAATTATTTATTGATTTTATTGTGACAAGGAATGGCCTTTTTTTCTGTCAGTATATATGAATTACTTTATTTGAGTAATAAATGTACATTGCTTTTAATGTTATTGTTCATGAATGAAATTAAATCTTCAAAGAGAAGATATGTGATTGCAATGATATTTGGGGTGCGTGTATTATAACATATAAATTTATATTAGACTTTTCAAGGTTTGAACAAATTTTTATATGACTTATATACTCATTCCTTCATAGTTCTTGTTCTCATATTACTCCCAACATATTGCAAATAAGCTTTTCCACCATTTACAAATTGTGCTCTTATAAGAAAGAAACATAATAGATGCTTCCAAAATATGTTGGTAGTATTTAATGTCAGCTTACACCATACACTTGTTATTGACAACCAAACTAATTATATTGACAACTATTGGAGCATCTATTAACAACTAAGGTTAATATGCACCACACCGTTATCATTAACAACTAAACTAACAATAATAACTAATATTGTGGTATGTACTAATAACTAATGTCAATCTGCACAACATACTTTTCACTAACAACTAAACAAATTATATTAACCACTATCGTGACATGTATTAATGTCCACCTACATTACACATCTGTCATTGATAACTAAACTAGTTATATTAACAATTATCATGGCATATATTAATAACTAATATCCACTATTGCATTGTACATTAATTTGTCATTGACAATCAATCTAGTTATAATAACAAATATAAGGGTATGTATTAGCAACTAATATTCACATGTACCTCACACTTGTCATTGACAACTAACATTAGTTTTATTAACAACTATCGCAGCATATATTAATAACTAATATCTACTTGCCCCTCACACTTGTCATTGGCAACTACACTAGTTCTATTAACGACTATTGCAACATTTATTAACAACTCATATCCACATGTTCCTCATACTTATCACTGACAACTATACTAGTTCTATTCATAATTATCATGACATGTATTAACAATTAATATTCACCTGCACCTCATACTCGTCATTGACAACTTAACCAATTATATTAACAACTATCTCTGCATGTATTAACAACTAAATTAATCAATGAGGGTAACTTCATAATTTCATAATTAAATTCTCTTATCCACCAGTCTCTTGAGACTTCAAATTTATTTCATGATTTTATGGGACCTTATAATATATGGCATTAGAAATTATGGTCAATGAGCTTTGTAATGATATATCATTTGCCTAATTAGTATTTAAATGAAGAAAGATATGTCCACTTAAAATTGATTTTTAAATTGATTTTGTTTATAGGGAAAATTGCATTCAAGTCCCAAGTAAAAGAAATAAGATCTATTCAAAAACCTTTTTATTTTTAAAGTTATGCTCGGTGAAATTTAAGTTTTAATATAATAAGAAAGGGATCAAAACATTCGAATTTGATGCATTAAATTTGAATTTTCCCACATCAAATTTGAATTTGGTCAAGGAATTCGAATTTTCTTATCTTTCATTCAAATTTACTTAAACAAATTTGCATTTTAGGCAGCAAAGAAATTGATTATCACATGAGTAAATTCGCATTTCATGCAGCAAATTGAAACATAATCTCACCAAATTTGAATTTGCTCCGCCAAATTTGAATTTGCTCATTTTCTTGTCATAGTTAAAACTTAACTTTCATTAAGAATAACTTTCTCAATTTAAGTTCAAGTTGGACAAATAGAAAGCTCTTTGAGTATACTTTTTAATAAAATAAGACCCATTTAAAAAAATTTTATATTCTTAAATTTATGATTAAAAGAGTGAAGCTTTTTTCTTGTTTATGATTAAAATTTATGATTAAAATTTTATAACTTTCTCATAGAAGCTTTTTTCTTGTTTAACAATATAGAAAGGATGAAGAAACTTATTCTCTATTTATCTCTGTTTCTTTGAACTGAAAACAAAGCAAATCAAAAGAAGATAAGCATATATGGTAGAATAAGTTCTTTTGCTTGGTGTGAAAGTTTATTTTTAATCCATATAAACAGTGAAAGAGATAGATAAAAGCCATCAAAGCTTTTAAGTTTTGATTCAATTTGATAGGGCTGAAGAAGACCTCATCCTCTGTGAAAGCGTGGGCCGATCTATTGAGCTTGCGCACTGCATCTCACAACAACTTTGACTTCCACAGCCTCTCTGATTTCTCATTCACGAGTCCCACTAAAAACTCTAACAATAAATCAAATCATCAATTCTATATTAATTTTTCCGCATCGATCTGAAAAATCATTTCCCCCATCCTCACTTTTGTTTCAGCTATAGCTCACGGCTTTATTCCCTCACTCATACTGCCCTGTCTAGCACGAGAAGACCAGAGGCGATAATGATCTGAGTTGTTATGGGTATATTTGCCTTTTGAATTTTTCCACCTACGACTGAAGATCGATTCCCACCAAAAAAGGTGGGAAGCGCGCTTCCAAGGTATAAGAGAAAATTCAGTACCACTGGAAATTAGTTTCCCAAAAAATCTTGCTGCCAAACGCCTTCGACCAATTGAAAATTGGGATTTTCTTTCTTTTCTCAGATTTTCAGGGTACCAAACATGCTCTTAGTGACATTCATCATCTTGTGCTTCCTGTCGTCAACACTATAGTACTGCAAGTGAGCTCGCATGTGAAATTTTTTAGTAGATCTGATGTGAAAAAGGGAAAAAAAAATCAAATTAAGGCAACATACTAGATGTTTGACTTCATTTATTATTTAATTATAAGAAAAAATTCTCCTTCAAAAAATTATTAATTTAATGGTATTAGAACCAATTAATTAAAAGGTTCATGTTCCCATAAATTCCGTGTCAATAAATTAGAGTTAGTACAAAATATTATGTTATTCATTGTGAATTTTTTGCTCTTAGTATTTCAAAATTTTCCTAGATAAAATTTTTTATAAATAAATACTATATATGTTACCCAAAAAAAAAAAACTTTGTAATGTCAAGTTTTTATGGTTTAGTTTTTTGTTTTTAGTATATTTTTATTTTGAATTATAAAAGGGCATTTTAGTCTTTTAATAACATTCACAAATTTCTAATAAGGCCTCTTGGCCTAATTATAAATTTCTTAACAAGTGCAAGTGCTAATTTAAATTTTGATATTTAGTAGGATTCTCCCGTAAGTCATTCAATATAATTCTCCTATTATTTTCTCCTTTCTTAGGATAAATTTTATTAATCAACAGCTTTAAATTCTATATATTTGCTGCATTAAAAGTTAAGAAAATATAATAAGACATTATTAATAAATAAAACAATATTGTTTATAAGTTATGAACAATAAGGTTTTATTTAAGGAAATAAAAAAGGGAAAATTAGAGTGAAGGACCTAGGAAAAATAATTATGTTTTAGTATTTTTATATTTATATTTTTATATTTCGTTCTTCTAAATAATTACAGTATTTAAAATCTCTTCAATAAATACTACCTCAAGTATTTAATATGAGACCCAATTGATTAATTTAAAGTAATTGAGAAAATTACTAAATTACTTAATTATAGCATATGTTACATGATCTTTCTAAAATATTTATGTCTATCATTAGATTATATATCAATTTATGAGAGTGGCAAATTAGTTTGAAAAAAAATAATAAATATCAATATTTTAAGGTAATTTATTAACTTCCTTAATTTCTCTAGGTAGTATTAGTTTCTTTAGGTCCTTCTCTTTAATTTTTCCTAAAAACATAATAGTAATAATATTATATGATAAAATTCATAGAAAGTCACACTGGTTATAAGATATATGAGAAGTAAAATACAGTTACCTGTTTATGTAAATTAGGTAACCTCTTTTGCAACATAAAAGAAGGGAAATATAATGCACTAAATTTAATTATTAGGCAATTTGTGCTTTGGGTTTGATCAGCATTCTTATTTCCAAAATGATGACCACAAGAAGCAAGAAGCCAAGGCTTGCTCCATAACCAGCAAACCACTTTGATGCTTCGCCTGCCAAGTGAAGTCCATAGAAAGAGTTCACAATTGCAAATATCATCAAAATCCTTCCAACGTTGTGATGATAATAATTCCAGTATTTTCTTACTTTTGATTCTTTTCCTGGTCGCAATAAAATTGCTAAGACCTGCATGTGAAACAAAATCAATATATTAAACAAAATCACCATTATTATTGTATTTGTATCTACTGTACGTTGTCCATTCTTTTTTTTTTGGGGTCAAAGACTGTACGTTGTCCATTCTGATGCTCATATATAAGGAAACATGTGTAATATTTTTAAAATGATTTGTTGAGAAATTTAAAAGTTAGAATCTTAACTAATTACCCAAGTTATAAATTTCAATTGTGTACATAAATATATGTTTGGCCCTAAATATTGGACTGATCATTCAGCTGGTTGAAACAATGATTCAAGAATTAACTTAATAGTCCAATTGTGGTCAAATCAATATGATTAAAATGATATAATTTAATTAAAATACATAAAAAAACATTCATATATAATCTTGTGAAGAGTAATATAAAAACCATTAATCCAGAAATGGAATATCTATGTATATAAACCACACATACTTCAAATTTACTAAAGTACCAATGTGACGGACTGCTACTTTTTTAATTTTTAAAACTCAAAATGACATCATTTTAGACTCCTCAATAAGAAAAATAACAAATATATAGCTAATCGACTTATCTAAAACACTTGATTTGATTGATAAAAGGACTGGTTTGGCTAGGTTCACTGGCGATACCATCCCATTTAGATAGGATTTTAACATTCCATCTACTCTAACAAACAAGTAAAAAGAGATGTGTTATATATATATGTGTGTGTGTGTGTGTGTGTGTGTGTGTGTGTGTGTGTGTGTGTAGAGAGAGAGAGAGAGAGAGAGAGAGAGACCTGTAGGCAGCCAAGGACGAGAATGAGGAATCCTATATTCTTGTGATGAGTAACGTTGGAACTGACTTTCTTAGATAAAGCCAAACCACGTATGAATCCAGCTATTCCTGCCCCCCAAAGCCAAGTGTTTGGATCAAAGCGTGCAAGTAAAACCAGAGTGGGTCCCACTCCTTGCAGTGACGAGCAACTATGGCTCCTATCAACATAGCTAGGCTCCATCCTCCAATATTTAGCCATCCATGGCTTCTTTTTAGCTTTAGGTTTGAGATTACATTAGCTCTACCTGCAGTTTCAACACATACTCTCATCACACTCGTCATCATCATCAATATATATAATTAAAGAACTTAAGCCGTATTAATTAATAACACCTACTTCAATAATATTGGTGGGAAAAAAACTCCTTAATTATGGTCCTATCAGCATTAGTGAGAGTCCGACATGATTTTCAGATATCAAGTGATTTCGTCAAAAGAGTATAGTTGTGCTTACTTTAACTAATGATCTTGGATTCTAGCTATATATACAATATTTGGGTTGAAAACTTGTTTGGGGAGTTTCGGAATCCTTATTTTCTATCCAACTTGATTAGTTGGAATCTTATTCAGGTTCTTACTTAAGATTGGGCTGTTTGATTTATGATCAAAAGAGTATTAACTAAGAAAAGGTCTATTGGATAAATATCATGCCTATTAACTTTGTGAATATGAAGAAGAATGAAAGGCCTTCCGCTTCTTTCCGTAACTTTCAATTAACTAATACCCCCGGTCCTTGACATAAGAGGCTAATTAAAAAATTAGATTTGGTTTTAAATATAATATTTCAATCTATTTTGTTTTTCATTTATCCTAAGATATCTTTATTGATTGTAAAATGTTTCCATCAAGAGGTGTTACACAGTGTACATAATTAAAGAAGATAGTTTAGGAAGACCAATATATATTTGTAACAAATAACTAATTTAACTAATTTTCTTTAAAAAGTTAGTTAAAGTTAGTTATTTCTTGTAAAATTTCAAAATTATCCACAATAAAAAATCATTAATTAAAGGAATTTGGGTAATTGATTGGAAAGTTATAGCTAATTAGGAATACTTAGTGAAAAAAATTAATACATTAAACAAAACATATATTCTTCTAATCCTAAATATAAAACTAGTGTAACTGACACTACCAAATGAGTCTTACATTTATAGTTGAATGAGTATTATATATGTTATGAAACATGCAGGAGATCAGTATGAAAAGCCTTACAAACCTGATGCGTAGTCTATGTCGATCGAAATCATATCAATGTGTTGGAGTAAGAGAAATTGGGTGCCGGTAGGGTAGAAATTCTGGGGTCCAAGTGCGAATAAGAGAAGTGAGGAAGGCTGGTTGGTTTGCAACTGGAAGGCTACATATACTATGGAAGTTGGAGTTGAAACAATGGACGCATTGGCATATAGAAGATTTCCTTTATCAGCAACCACCTCTGCTTGTGTCATGCCACCCAAATAATACTGTTTCACTCCATCGATGCCACCACCCGCCGGCATGTCCCACCCGACAATGGCGCTAGAACCTTCCATTCGCCCGTCGTCGGAGAACCCTATTGCTCCATAAGAGTTTATGTTTATGGGAAATGAGAGAACAAAGCTCCACAAGTTTGGTGAGACCTGAGCATACTGTTCAATAATATCTCATATTAATATTATTAGACTTGAATTCACATCCTTTTAAGTGTGTGTATGGTGTAATCAACATAAAAATAATTAGTACATATATATATGTGTGTGTGTGTGTGTGTGTATGGATGAAGCTTCTAAAACTTCATGAAATTCTGTGCCAGGTTATTTTTGGGGGACAAACTATGCGTTTTTGGGATCTACGTGCTCCCTGGTTAGAAGCTCTAAAGGGTCCCAATGGTTTGGATTTGCTGGATATAGCACTATCAACAATTTCTTATCCAGGTTAACATTGAAAAAAGAACAACTTAGATTGAGAGTTTTTTTTTTAATCCCTGCTTAATAAAGTTGGTCAGTTGACTTAGATCACTTGGGAACATTTAACCCTTGTCATATTATAAGGCATCTCCAACCGCTTTACTAAATCAAGAACAGAGAGTTAAGTTATTAAATGCGCTTGAAAATGAGAAAAAATTTAAATTTACGCCTTATTAAGAAACAAAAAGAAAAATTGTGTCAAAGTTTAAATAGAAACAATCTTGAAAAAAATACAATTAATACTTCATTAGATAACTTATAATAAAAATCGCTCATTTAGAAATTTTTTTTAAAAAGAAAGTGCCTTATAATAGGGATAGAAATAGTATAAAATTACTCTGTAGATCATATTATCTATCAATAAGTTCATTGTTAATAATGGTCAAACTCAAATAACATACTGAATCAATCATTACTAAGGGCTTGTTTGGATGCGTGATTAATAAATGTGTGTATGGTGCAATCAACAAGAAAAATAATTAATATGTGTGTGTGTGTGGGTGTGTATTTGTATGAAGCTGCTAAAACTTCAGGAAATTGTGTGTCAAGTGGGTATATCTGTAAGTTGATGTAGCATTATATATGGACATTTTCTTATCTAGGTTAACCGTAGGAAAGAAGAACCAGATTTTTTTTCTTTGCTTAATAAAGTTGATCAGCTGATTTAGATTCACATCAAAGAACATTCAACCCTTTCGGCCCATATTATAACACGTCTCCAATCACTTTATCATAAACAACAGAGTTAAATCATTAAATTTGTTTGAAAATGACAGGGGAAAAAAAATCTAAATTTACCTCTTAGAAACAAAAAAGAAAAATTACTTCAAACTCTAAATAGGAACAATCTTAAAAAAAATGATATTAATGCTTCATTAGATGACTTATGATAAAGACCGCTCATTCAGTAATTCTTTCTAGCAAGTTACCTTATAGATCAGACTGTCTATCAATAAGTTCCGCTCAAACATATATTGAATCGATCATTACTCTAAGGATGTGCGTGTGTGTCTATATATATGTGTGTGTGCGCGCGCGCACTTACTCTAAGGATGAAGTTATGATCTGGCCAAACAGCAACACAGCGAAGGGAAGTCGTATCAAAATCAATGCGCTGAGGATCTACATTTTGGGAACAAGAGTCCAGCTGGGATGTTACCAGAGTTGATGAGCTACAGAAAACAATGAAGAAGACGAAGTAAAGAAGAAGAAAGTGCTTCATCCCTGCTTTAATTTAATGAAATATAGCTAGTTATGATCATTATAAATGTACACTTTAATCAACATTTATAGAATATGTTTTTTTGGCCATTTTAATTATGATCTTAGGTGTTTACGTACGAGGTGCTTGGTATTGCCGTCAATGACAAAGGATCCTCCATGCACACACGCACACACCTAGCTAGCTACGTAAGAGGTGCATGCGACAGAAAAATGAGAAGAAAAATATCGACTTCTTGTCATCAAGTGTTTGCCTAATCGTCAAATGGAACCAATCAATGTGTCCGAATATGGTAAGATTCCTGGGAGATGTTTATGTTGTGCATATATATTTTATTTTATTTTTGACTCAATTATATGTTTGTTCCTTTAAATTTATCTTAAGTTTATTAAGTTTATCCAATTAAATTTTTTTAAAAAAAGTGTATTTTTTGTCTTTTTACTCTTAACACTGTTACTTTTATTTAACAAAAAATGTTAACTCAGCAAATTAAAAAGTGGCTCCGCAATTAAATACTGACAAGTATACTTTAAATTTTAATCCTTTAATATTATATTTATATTTCAAAATTTAAGCATTTAAATATAGAGTAAATACTGTGAACTCTCTTGCACTTTGTCCTAATTATAAAGATCTCTCTTCTATTTTAAAAATATACACTTAAGTTCAAATCGTTAATTATGTTAAGAATATTCTGAAAGGATACTTGTTTCATTAAAATTTATATTAAAATATTTTTTATTTACTAATATACCTTTCTTAATAGTTAATACTAAATCCTTAAATTTGGGATAAAAAATTTGAAGAATTTAAATTTATTTTCCTTTTCCTTAAGTTTATGTTTTGCAAATAGTTATTTGTTTAATGTTTTTATCATATTGGGATAGAAAATTAAGTAATTTAGTTTATGTAGACATAAAAGCCTTCAATGGAAATTTGATTAATTCTTTAAGTAAATATATAATTGATTAAATAAGATATGAATGTTTCTAACAAAATTTTTATTTAAAAATTTTAAGTTGTAAATTGAAATGATTTCTATAATCTCTCAAACTTAGATAATTTATATTATATGATAGAAAAATATGTACTCATTTTGTTTTCTAGCCATTTAAAGAAACCTAAATAAATTAGTTTCATTTTATGTGATGAAGAATTAAATTTATAAAATTTTATAATATGATAAAAATTAATAAATTTCATTTAATTTTAAACATTTTGAAAATAAATGTATTAATATTATTTTTGGTTATATCAAAAAATTTTTTTGACAAATATAAATGTTTAAATATCTTTTATGTTAAGGAGTGATATTTTGGTCAAGAAAAATTTTAAAAGTCAAACTTAACAGTCAACTAACAGTTAGATGAATAGAAATAAAATCTTAAATATATAAAGGAGATTTGTATAACATACATTTTAATTTCAAATGAGATTTATATATATTTTCACAATAGAAGAGAGGTTTCTGTAATTTAGACAAAACCAAGGGGTGGTTAACGTATTTTACTTTTAAATATATGATAAGTATTTAAAATACTCAAATATTAAAAATTTAATCATTTATAAAATTTATTATATTAAAGAATTAAAGTTTAGAGCATGCTTTCCCAGCATTTACTTGCCAAAATCACCATTTAAATTTGCTTAGTTAACATTTTTTTTCAATTGAGTTTAACAGCATTCAAAATATACCTTTTAAACTAAAAAGATTAAAACAAAACTTGATGTAAACTTACTTTAACTTTTTTAAGTTATCTATATTTAAGCATGTGGTTAAGCTCAGGTCCTAAATATAAGAGCTAATAGAAAGATTTTCATTAGTCATAAACATAAATGTCACACCCGAATCCTAATCATCCTGTAAAAAGGAAGGAAAGAGGTGTCGTCACCAAAATTTTAAAAAGTTAATTTTGAAAACCTAAAAATGTGATCTACGAAAACTGGATAGGGTTTGAGAGTCACTTATATGTGGGGAAGGTGTTAGGCACCCCACAATATATGTTCAAAAGAACAGTTACCCTAAGTCAACTACTCAAAATTAATATGGCCTTTTTATTATATTTTAATCACCCTAAAAAAATTAAAAAACAAAGAAAAAAATTTTTATTTACAAAAAAAATAAATTATTTATAAAGCTGAACTTGACTTGAGATAAAAACCTAAGGCTTACATGCCCTCTAGAGGGACCAAAGCCCATGTAGTTTAGGAGATAAAAATGCATGTTCCTTGGTTGGTATTTTTTTAGAAAATATTTATTCAATTAAAAAAGATGTTTTTTATGGGTTGGTATTTTTTTTTAATATATGAGAAAAATTGTTGTATTTTTATTTAGAAAATATTTTTTTGAAAGAAATTTTGGATTATCCTACATGCGGAGGTTCCCATAACCTCACAGGGAAGAATAATCGTTTGAGCATGCGAAGGTTCTAAAAACCTCACATGGCTCTAAAAAATATTTTGAGATTATATACATACATATTTAAAAAGGGACTTTTTATTTTATTATTTATTCATAAACATGGGGCCAAAATTATTTTCTTTCTTTTTATTTCAAAAAGTAAATTTGCACAACCACATTGGTATTTCTGTAGAGACTCCTATAGTCTCACACGGTTTACCAATGAATCTAGATACCTATAGAGGTTCTGAAAACCTCACACGGTATAGATTTTAAAAAAAGAAGTGCTTTCGACAACAAAAAGAAAGAACACTCAAGTAATTCAACATGAAACCCAAGTTAAACATAATAGATAGGAATGAAAATTCATGCTTGATGCTCCACTTATCAATTGGCTAAAAAATATATTATATAATAAACCAATAATAAAAAACAATATACAAATATCAACAAAATGTCATGGACAAAAATAAAATAAATGAAATAAAATGAACATAAAAAAAGAAGAAAGAAGGTATCAAAGTGAGCACATATGGGAGATAATGGATAAGGGCATAGTTCAAACAAATCAAAGAGAAGGGGAGTAGTGACAATTAACTTAAATCATGTTTGATTCAACTCCCTAGCCATCACTGCTCAAGCTTACAAATGGGATAACAATTACAAGAGCATAGGCTTTCCTTGGGTAGAAGAAAGAAGAAGATGAACAAAGGACTTTTTTCTAGTTAGGCGTCCTCTCTCTTTCCCCAACCCAACTCATTGCCATGAAATAAAAATAGAAAAGCTCTTTACCTTGCCTCATTTTTCATCGGGAGATTCTGAGTGTCTTCCTCCAATCCTTACTCCTTTATTTATCGACTCCACCTAGGGTTTTTTAATTTTTTTTTCTATTTTTTTTAATTTCTCTCAATTATGACTCATAATATAACTTTCTATTTAAGCACCAAATTATCATCAGATATTTTTATTTGTATGTTTGTTTTTTATTTTTTCTACCATTATGACTCCAAAATATGTTTCTAAATTAAGAAGCTAATCAGCTTAACTGAGGAATTTTTATTTTTATTTTATGACTTTTTTTATTTCCCTCTTTAATGTGTCCACCTCACATTTCCTAAATTAGAGACTAGTCAACATTCAATTTCATCTTTTGCTTGATTACCATTTATTGTGGGAAAGATGTTCTTATTTGATTTTTCATTTTTTAGGGAGATTTTCAAATTTGCTCTCCAAGAATGAATCAAGAAGGATATTTATTTTATTATTATTTTTTTTATTGATTTCTTATTTATTAGATTTATTATTTTTTTGTGGGTTCAGACAAAGTAGGGTGTTTACAATAAGACCCCAATATATTTTGTTTCCTAAATTTATAATCCATTTCCTAAACTCTCCTTACACATATTAAGAAGTATTCATCAAGAGGTAGTTTCCAATACAAATAACTAGAGGGCTATTTTAAAAAAATCAACACATTTTTTTTTAACAAATCACTAAGTTAACTAATTTTCTTAATCATTACAAATTAGTTAACTAGTTCTTAAATTTAGGATTGAGGATAGTAGTTTAAGTGTGGTTGTGGGTTTTACGGTTGATGCTGATGATGTTTTGAATTCAATTTCCCTAAGCCCATTTGTATGTTTGTATCAATACATGGCAATTATGAAACTTCATTCATACTAACTTTAAATCGTCCATCGAGACAAACCTTTTCACATTAGAAGAATACCCCTGTGGCACCTTAATGCCATACAAATATTGGTACAAGCTAGTTTTCTCTACTTTGGACAATGTGTGAGCTGTTGGTTCTAAATAAGCCCTCTTACTGCCCTCTTTTAATTGTGGATGTAACTATTTTCTTGTTCCCATTTCAGCCAATTCTAATTTCACATTGATTCCATCCTTAGTTTTTCTTGGTATGTGTAAAAGAGTACTAATCAGGCTCTCATAAGCTTTTTTCCATGTACATCACATCAAGACTATAATCTAATATCAAGATTACACCAATATGGAAGGAAAAAAAAAGGACCTCTGCTTCCAAATGTTCTTCTCACTTACAATCCTCTTACTCTTCCAGAAAACGACATCAATTCTTTCCACCTTTCAATAAACTTCTTCTCCAGTTAAAGGCATTGGAGTCATTCCATACTCTAGTGAGCCATTAAAAAACTTTTTCAATCCACGGTATGCGTAACATCCTAATTTTTAATTTGAGGCATTAAGTAATTGAAATTGGAAGCTTGAGGCTTAAAAATACTAAGATTTATGGTTGGAGATCTTATCTCCAGACCTTATAATTTGTAGTATTGGAATTTGAGTGTTTTTAAGGGTTAAATGATCTTACTTTTAAGTGGTCCCCTTTACATTGAAAAATAGACATATCAAACTTTCTAAAGAGGCCTATTTTGTAATTTTTGAAGATTTATGGAGCTAGTTATGAATTTTTTAAATTGGATCTTTTTGCTTTGTGTTTTTTGCTAGACGTTCGCTATAGCAAACAACACATAATGCTCACTACATCATTTGCTAGACATTTGCTATATGTTTATTATAGCAAACAATACAAAGTATTTATTGTGACGTTCACTAGAAGTGAACGCG